TTTTTGTTGATTAAATAATTAATTAAAATGAATAAATAATAATAGTATTAAAATAAAAATATTTATTTATTTAAAAAAAATAATTAATTTAAAATAAATTTAAAATTAAAAAATAACGATTATTTCAAAAAATAGAGGAAGTAAGTTTACTAGATGGAGGATATCCTTATAGATTGGTGACATAGGTGCAAGAAAAGATAGAAATCTTTGTTTAAAAGGTGATAAGGAGTTAATCGTTTTTGCCACGAAAGGAGTTAATCATTTACAAATATTGTTGGAAATGACTAGTCGTAATTTTCTTTCTATATCTTTAAATGCATATTGAATTAAACGTTCTAAACGAAAATAAAGCTAATTTTAGTTATTTATTTTTTTAGAATTTCATTTAATATTCTTATTCATATTTTATTTTTATTTAAAAAAATAATTATAACATAGAGCATTAAATAAGAATGTTTATTTAAGAATTGCTTAATTAGGAATAAAAATAAAATTTTATAAATTAATTATTATATCATTTTTTATTAAAAAATCTCTTATTTTACAGTTTAAATTATATCTGATTATAAAATATATATTATTAAATGAGAAAATGATTTTAATATTAACAATCTCACCTTATTTAATAATTAATATTGTATAATTTAATATATTTTAATCTCTACAATACCTTTATTAGAAACTAAACTTATTAAAATTGAACGAAAAGATAATTATTAATTATATAGTACAAAAAAAAGGCAATTCCCTACCTCCATAAAAATTATCATATACAATATTTGAAATTTTTATGTGGGTTGCTCTTAATTGTATTTGGTTTTCAAAAATTGGATCAAATGGAAAAACTAGTAAAACCCAATAAAGTAATGTGATCCAACTGGACATAGGTTTTATCTCAGTTTTATATGGTGTAATATGAATAGGTGTAGGACCTAAAAATAAAGGTAAGGTACTTGATGAGGGTGCCCAAAAGATTATTATAATGAGTTAAATCTCTCATTCAAAAAACCCTACCTCTATAAATAGTAGAGTTAGGGAGTTGCATGACCTATCGGTTGTCACTATACAGAAGTTGATTAGGGAGAGAAAGACCTAAATCCCAATACTAACTATATTTGATTTTGTAAGTTTTGTCATGAAATTCCTAATTATGATGATTCTTAAATATTCTTAAAGGTTCTTAGATAATATATTAATTATGAAGATTTAGGTACGTAATGCATTTATTTTATTAGTTTTTGGTATCCTAAATTTTACTTATGTCGATCCTTAAAAATTTCAATATGTGGTATCAGAGCAGGTTATATGTAGATTTAGGATCAAAGTATTTTATTTTTTAATATAGTTTCCAAGCTAATTCGATGAACCGATTAAGATTTTTTATCTTGATATTATACGCTTAGCTTTTATAATTACGATTAAAATAGAGGTTATGTAATTGAATAGTCAAGACTTTAAAAGATATAAAACATATCTGTAAATCCGTTTATACAAGTCGAAGTTTGTGTTTA